TCTGTTGCCTAGCTCAGCTGATGTGTCACTTCCTCTGGGTCCCTTCCCTACTTCATCTGGGCTGGGAGCCCTTCCTCAGTGTTCCCATGCACCTGTGCATACCTCCATCACAGCACTTACCACACTGCTCTATCCTCTAGACTGGGAGCACTTCTAGGCTCTGAAGTGTGACTTATTTATCTTTGGATCCCCAGTGTCTAGCATAGAGCACGGCACATACTAATTGCCTATCTGGGTAGTCAGGGAAGGCTTCCTGGTGGTGATGACAACTAACTTGATTCCCAAAAATGAGGAGGAATTGGCTGGATGAAAACCGGTCAAGGAGGCTGGACATGGTGCCTCACATCTGTAATCCAGCATTTTGGGAGGCCGAGGTAAGAAGATCACTTGAGGTCAGGAATTCAAGACCAGGCTGGCCAAAATGGCAAGACCTTTCCTTACCAAAAATACAAAATATTAACCAGGCATGGTGACCACGCCTGTGGTCGCAGCTACTTGGGAGGCTAAGGTGAGAGGATTGCTTGAGCCTGGGAGGCAGAAGTTGCAGTGAGCCATGGTCACACCACTGTACTCCAGCCTGAGTGACAGAATGAGACCCCATCTCAAAAGAAGAAAAAAAGAAAGGAAAGAAAGAAAAGAAAAGAGAAAAGAAAAGAAAAGAAAATAGAAAAGAAAAGAAAAGAAAAGAAAAAAAAAGAAAAGAAAGGATGTCAGCCAGCTACCTAGTGGCAAATTGATTACCACTGAATCACTTCCACTGTGGAAGGGGCAGTGTTCTGTCCTCACTAGAAGAGATATTTACTTTGGATATGGATTTGTTTTCTTTGCATGCAATGCTTTGCCAAAACTACCATCTGTGGACTTACAGAATGCCTCCACCATTATGGTATTCTATAGAGCATTGCTTCTGATCAAGGAACTCAATCTGCAGCAAAAGAAGTGTGACAATGAACCCATGCTCATGGAATTCGCTGGTCTTATCACATTCCCCACCATCCTGAAGCAGCTGGATGCTTTTGAAGTCTCAGTTATCACTCCAGCTAGGTGGCAATGCCTTGTGATGCCAGGGCAAGCCCATTCAGGAGGCTATATGTGCTCTGAATCAGCATCCAATATATGGTGCTGTTTCTCCGAGGGCCAAGATTCAAGGGTCCAGGAATCAAGGGGTGGAAATAGAAATGACACCACTTGCCATTACCCTAGTGACCCACTAGCAAAATTTTTGCTTCCTGTTCCTGCAATTTTATGCTCTGCTGGCCTAGAGGTCTTAGTTCTGGAGGGAGGAATGCTTCCATTAAGAGACACAACAATGATTCAATTGAACTTGAAGCTAAGACTGCCACCCAGACTCTTTGGGCTCTTTATGCCTCTGAGTCAATAGGCCAAGAAGGGAGTTACTGTATTGGTTGGGGTGACTGGTCCAGACTTCCAAAGGGGAAATTGGACCTCCACTCCACAATGGAGGTAAGGAAGAGTATGTATGGAATATAGGAGGTCTCTTAGGGTATCTCTTAGTATTACCACACCCTGTGATTAAGGTCGATGGAAAACTACAACAGTGCAATCCAGGCAGGACTATGAATGACCCAGATCCTTCAGGTATGAAGGTTTGTGCCACTCCACCAGGTAACAAACCTCGACCAGCTGAAGTGCTTGTTGAAGGCAAATGGAATACAGAATGGGTAGTAGAAGAAGGTAGTGATCAATACCAGCTACGATCACATGACCAGTTATGGAAATGAGGACTGTAACTGACATGAGTATATCCTCCTCGTTTTGTTATATGTTCATGTATATGTATACATTTTAAGCAAATACCTTCATTTTCTTTCTTCTCTTACTCCCTTATTATGTAATATAAAATGTATTCACTTTATATCTGTATTTAAGTTAATTTTACGTCATAGTGTTTACCTGGAGAACAGTAAACATCACTCAAGAGCTTCAACTCCTCTTCTGGGGAAGGAATTAGTATGAGATAGATGTCATGTTAATCAGAATTAGGATCTTGTTATTGTTTTTATTTGGGGACTAAGTATGGTTTAAGGAGATGCAACCCATATGGATGCCAAATTGACAAGGAGTGAATTTGTGATGGTAGTTTTATGTGTCAATTAGATGTGCAGATAGCTGATAAAACATTACTTCTGGATGTGTCTGCAAGGGTGTTTCCAGAAGAGATTAACTCATCAGTAGACTGAGTAAAGAAGGTCTGCACTCATCCATGTAGGTGAGCATCATCCTTTGCGGTCCTAAATAGAACAGAAGGGTGGAAGGAAGGCAAATTTGCTCTCTCTGAGCTGTGACATCCGTATTCTCCTGCCCTTGGACATTGGCATTCCTGGTTTTCAGGCCTTTGGACTCAGATTGAACTACATCATCAGCTTTCCTGGTTTTCCAGTTTACAAACAGCAGACTGTGAGACTGATTAGCCTCCTCACATGAGGCAATTTCTATAATTAAAAGAAAATACAGGGCTGGGCACAGTGGCTCACACCTGTAATACTGCACTTTGGGAGGCCAGGGTGGGTGGACTGCATAATCCTAGGAGTTCAAGACCAACCTGGACAATGTGATGAAACTCCATCTCCAACAACAACAACAACAACAACCAACAACAACAACATCAACAACAACAACAACAAAGGCCAGGCGTGGTGGCTCAAGCCTGTAATCCCAGTACTTTGGGAGGCCGAGGCAGGTGGATCACGATGTCAGGAGATCAAGACCATCCTGGTTAACACGCTGAAACCCTGTCTCTACTAAAAAATACAAAAAATTAGCCAGGCGTGGTGGCATGCGCCAATAGTCCCAGCTACCCTGGAGGCTGAAGCAAGAGAATGGCATGAACCCGGGAGGCGGAGCTTGCAGTGAGCCGTGACGCACCACTGCACTCCAGCCTGGGAGACAGAGCAAGACTCCATCTCAAAAAAAAAAAAAAAAAAAAAAAAATGTAGCTGGGCATGGTAGCACATGCCTGTAGTCCCAGCTACTCAGGAACTCAGGAGGCTTAGGTTGAGGGATCTCTTGAGCCCAAGAGGTAGAGGTTGCAGTGAGTTGAGATCACACCACTGCACCACTTCACTCCAGCCTGGGTGACAGAGCAAGACCTTGTCTCAATAAATACACACACACACACACACACACACACACTGTAAGTTCTGCTTCTTTGGGGAATCCTGACTAATACAACAGGTCAAGAAATACCTCAGGCAATAGAGGCAACAAGCAAAGATGCAGGTGTGTGATACAGAATGATGCATCAGAGAACTGTAGGTTACGCAAGGTGGCTGGAGCACTCGAACTACAAGGCAAGGAGTGGTCAAGGACAAGTCCAGGTAATGTCTACCAATAGACTCAGAGGACAGACACTATCAGGCAGTCCTGACCAGGGGACCAAAGTATGGATCTATTACACAAGACCAGTTAGAGGTGACACATGGAAACCAGGGATCAAAATTAAGGAGGAAATGACTGATAACAGGTAAATGTATTATCCTGCCAGAGTATGTGCGATGGAATTAAATGGTGAATGGGCCTTTCATAATTTAAGTAGATCCTCATCACATGTTTGTTGGAAAAAAATCAAATATGTAATATACACTAAAATATGATCATAAACCTAGATTAATACAGCTATGAAATTAAATTATGGCACTTCAGGTATGAGCCAGGTTGAGGGAGATAAACGTGTGGTCAGTGTACTGAAGTTCCTGAAACTGGGAACCACTAGTTCTTCCTACTCTTTAATGAGGGGCCAGAAAGTAGAAGGAGTAGAAGCAGGTGGGGTGAGGAAGAAAAGAGACTGGGCAATTTACAAAAGAAAGACGATTAATGGACTCACAGTTCCACATGGCTGGGGAGGCTTCACAATCATGGGGGAAGGTGAAAGGCAGGTCTCACATGGTGGCAGACAAGAGAAGAGAGCTTCTGTAGGGAAACTTCCCTTTATAAAACCATCAGATCTCATGAGACTTATTCACTATCATGAGATTTATTCACTATCATGAGAATAGTACCGGAAAGATCCGCCCCCATGATTCACTTATCTCCCACTAGGTCCCTCCCACAACATGTGGGAATTATGGGAGCTACAATTCATGATGAGATTTGGGTGGGGACACAGTCAAACCATATCACCAACATTAGGTGAGATGGCTCTGGATTCTGATTTCCGCTCCTCATGGCAATGTGTCCCCTTAAGTGCCCTTCAGCTTTCTGTGTTCCTCACTCTGTCCTTGTTCTCTATTCTTTCATCTGCCCCCAGACTTCGTTTTGCTCTTTCCTCACTCAGAGAGCCGTATTTCTTGGTAAACCCCAGTCTTTTTTTATTTTTATTTATTTACTTATTTATTTATTTATTTTTAGACAGAGTCTCACTCTCTCTCATCCAGGCTGGAGTGCAGTGGTGCGTTCTCGGCTCACTGCAACCTGTGCCTCCCGGGTTCAAGCGATTCTCCTGCCTTAGCCTCCCGAGTAGCTGGGATTACAGGCGCCTGGCTAATTTCTGTATTTTTAATAGAAAGGAGGTTTCACCATGTTGGCCAGGCTGGTCTCGAACTCCTGACCTCAACTGATCCGCCCACCTCGGCCTCCCAAAGTGTTAGGATTACAGGTGTGAGCCACCGTACCCAGCCGGTAAATCCCAGTCCTTTACCTACGTCCTCCAGGGGTATTTTGAGCCTGTTGCCCTTGGCCTTTCAGAACCGGTCTCCCGCTCCCTGGCCATGCCCGACTCTTTTTCGTATTCTAACCCAGCTTTCCCATGTGTAAACCTATTTTTTGACTCCTGGGGAGGCACTCTGGGCTCCCCACAACCTCCCCGGGATGTGACTGGGAAGGGCTCCCTTAGGCTCTCTCGCTCTTTGCAGCCACAGAGCAGGGAGAAATGCCCCGGTGGCCCTGTCGATTCCACGCCGTGCCCTGCGGAAGGCCGGCCATGCGATATGGAAGCTCTGCAGAACTGTCGCAGCTGAAAAGAAAGAGGCCCTCCCTGCAAAATGACTGAGTCAGTTCAGGCCTTGGCCCCCAAGAGAAGTTCCCTGGCCATGTCACGCCCTCCACTCAAGCAGTTCCAAAAGGCTGGGGAAAGAGCTGTTTTCGGGAATTTGGAATGTGGGAAAAATTTCCCCAGGGAGTCGAACTCGCCTGCAGCAGGAAGTGGGTTTCTGGCCACGGGAAAAGTGAACGGCTGGTTTTCCTGCTCTGCCACCTCCCGGGGGATGTGAGACCTGCAGGCCTTCCCCGGAGTGGAGAAAAGCAACTATTCAAGCACTGAGGATGGATTCATTCACTGTGCACCTAGAACAAAGAGGACTAGACAACGTCCCCAACCATAATGAGGCTACACTCGGGTCATTTGTTGTAAAAGCGAAAGAAAGAAGTGTGCAAGTCAGAATCCTGGGAATCCTCCACCTCCAATCCATTATCAAGTCCTCTCAATTCCAAATCCAGTACGCCCCTTAGATCCATCCACTTCCCTTTCTCCAGGTCCAAACCACTCCTCTGCCTCTTCTCTGAACGCTTTCTCCTCCCTCAACCCATTCTTCACCTAGCAGCCTGCTTAAATCCGTTTAGCTTAAATCCCCACCAGTCCCGGCCCCGCCAGGTCCAGCAGGCCCTTCATCCACAGGCCTTCATCCACAGCCCTTCATCCACAGGCCTTCATCCACAGCCCTTCATCCACAGCCCTTCATCCACAGGCCCTCATCCAGCAGGCCTTCATCCACAGCCCTTCATCCACAGCCCTTCATCCACAGGCCTTCATCCACAGCCCTTCATCCACAGGCCTTCTTCATCCACAGCCCTTCATCCACAGCCCTTCATCCACAGGCCTTCATCCAGCAGGCCCTTCATCCACAGCCCTTCATCCACAGCCCTTCATCCACAGCCCTTCATCCACCAGCCCCCTTCATCCACAGCCCTTCATCCACAGGCCCTCTTCATCCACAGGCCCTTCATCCAGGAGGCCCTTCATCCACAGCCCTTCATCCACAGAGCCCTTCATCTGCAGGCCTTCATCCACAGCCCTTCATCCACAGCCCTTCATCCACAGCCCTTCATCCACAGCCCTTCATCCACAGGCCTTCATCCACAGCCCTTCATCCACAGCCCTTCATCTACAGGCCTTCATCCACAGGCCCTTCATCCACAGGCCTTCATCCACAGCCCTTCATCCACAGCCCTTCATCCACAGCCCTTCATCCACAGGCCCTTCATCCACAGGCCTTCATCCACAGCCCTTCATCCACAGCCCTTCATCCACAGCCCCTCATCCACAGCCCCTCATCCACAGCCCCTCATCCATAGGCCCTTCATCCACGGAAAGACCTGGGTGCTGACCCTCTCTCACATCAGCACCCGGGTCTTTCCGTACTCCAAACACCACAAACTCTTCTGGCCTTCGGGACTTTTCTTCTTCACAGCTCCTTCTACCAGCATACTCTTCCTTATCTCCCCCTCTATTCATTTCATTCTATTGACCCTTGGATAGCGGCTCAGCATCACTTCTTCAGGGGAAGCTTCCCTGACCTGCAGATAACAGATCCTGCAGTCATCTATTCTAAAACTTCTCATGCTCTTCCCTCATAGCAAACATCACAGTTTAATTACATCTGTGTGTATTCTTTTAATTAATGTCTCCTTCCCCCGAAGCTGTAGATGCAATATCACTAGTACCTAGCATGGTACCTGACATATGGTAAATGCTGAATAAGTGTTTGTGGAATAAATTTGAAAGGACCTGTGGACTTCTTACAAGCAAGAGAGGAACAATCTGGTTTTCTCAGTGGGTGTAGAAGTAAACTTTCCACCACAGAAGTAGAACAGGACCAGGATTTCCCAGCCACTTTTATGGGATGCTTTAACCACAGTGGCATCTCCTCTTGAGCCTTCCTGGACTGTATCACTGGAAGTCCAACATCTGTTCCTCCTTGGACCCTGGGGGCAAGGGGCTATCACTGCTAGAGGGAGGGGAAGCTAATGGCCCAGTGAGCTGAATGGAGCAGAGAATGGGGGAAAGATAGTGGAGAGAGACCACTCAAATCAGAAGGCCACTGGATTGATGACCTCTGAAACCTTGAAGCCCCCAGATTCTTTCTCCAGGTTCCAGAGCAGATGATGCTGCCTATACAACGGGGAAGATCAGACACCTACTTGAGTGTCATACCCTGAGACTCAGTCTGGTTGGATTCATTCTTTCAGTAACCTCTACAAAGTTCCGGTCCTCTAAAAGGTTATACCTGCTCTTGACCCCCAGAGGGCACCCTGGAGACTCTTCTAGGCAGCCTGTTAAGCACCATTACTGGTCAGCTTCCAGGGTCAGTGGAACTTGATGTAAAAGCCGCTGGGGTTGTTACCAGTGGTGGGTATCCGAGTTACTGGCGACAAATTCATACAGTTCTGCAGCAATCTCTATTCTTGCCTACTCAGAAGAAATAATTTGACGGACAGGCAGAAGGCAGAAGGAGAGACTAAAGCAAGTTTTAGAGCAGGAGTGAAAGTTTATTAAAAAGCTCTAGAGCAAAGGCCAGGAGCGGTGGCTTACACCTGTAATCCGAGCACTTTGGGAAGCCAAGGTGGGTAGATCGCCTGAGGTCAGGGGTTCGAGACCAGCCTGGCCAACATGGTGAAACCCTGTCTCTACTAAAAGTACAAAAATTAGCTGGGCATGGTGGTGGGTGCTTATAATTCGTTACTAGGGAGAATGAAGCAGGAGAATCGCTTGAACCCGGGAGGCAGAGGTTGTAGTGAGCTGAGATCATGCCACTGCACTCCAGCCTGGGAGACAGAGGGAGACTCCAGCTCAAAAAAAAAAAAAAAAAATCTCTAAAGCAGAAACAAAAAGAAGTACACTTGGAAGAGGGCCAAGTGGGTGATCTGAAAGTCAAGTGTGTGGTTTGACCTTTTGACTTGGGGTTTTATATGTTGGCATGCTTCTGGCATCTTGTGTCCCTTTTCCACTCATTCCTCTCTTGGGGTGGGCTGTCCGCATGCTCAGTGGCCTGCTAGCACTTGGGAGGGGAGCATGCGCAGTGTGTTTACTGGAGTTGTATGCATGCTCACTTGAAACATTCTTCCCTTACCAGTGGAATGTCCCCAGGAGAACATATACCAGTTAAACTCTGCCATTTTGCTTTAGTGCACATGCATGAGCTCACTCACACAACTCCTGAGATCTTATTGGGAAGCTGCTGATCACCAGCTTCAGGCGTTTCTATCTATTGGGAAACTGCCTTTCTCTGGCACCAGCTGCTACCAATTATTATTTTAGAAAGACAGTGTGACAACTGCCGGATCATCATCTGGAGGTCACCTGATATTCCTGGTGGGGTCGATGTGGGAGCTCTCGTCTGCCTGGCTCATGCCTGACTAGCTACCTACTGTAACAGGGTCAAAGCCATATGATTATGGAGCAGGCCAGGCAGGGGAGTGTGGGAGAGATTTCCTGTGTGGTCTCTGCAGCGGTGAGGTGAGCTCATGGAACGTACAGCAACATAGGTACTTGTAGTGGCCATTAAAAAAAAATTGCTCAACCTCCATTTCCCCTTTATTGGATATAGCACCCGAATTTCTGATTGTGGACTTAACCCTCTCTCCTTGTGTGGACTCTTGGTACGACAGTAAATCAAGGGGCTTTTCCTCATAGCCAAGAGGTGGGCACATGACCTAGGCTGGAGCACTCAGACTGTCTCCTGAGACAGGGTCTTGCATCATCAGAAATGAACACTTGGATGACACTTGTTTCCTCAGCAACTCTCAGACAAAATAGTTGGCCAGTTTCATTGGTTCGAGTTCTATTTTAAGACTGGCTCTCCAGCCTCCTATCTCCTCTGTGAGCTACATGATAACCTTTCAACAAGTTCTTCTTTTTGTTTCTGTTGCTTGCCACCAAGGAACCATGATAAATTATCATCTGGTTTGTAATTTCCATTTGAGGAACCTCAGATGGTGCACAATAGTACAAAGACTTGGATAGTAGCTGCTAAAAGAGGAGGTGGCTGGAAGCATCTGAAATGTAGTCCAGAATAGTCCTGGGAGGCTAAACAAATGAGCACAAGTTGGTGAGGATATGGGAAATAGCTGGAAGAATTAAGTGCACCAACTTGCTGAAATTTGCTCTTACCAGTAGGAATGAGCCAGGGATATATAAGCGAGGAATGTCCAAGGTGAAGCCTAGAAAATTCATATTCCATGGAAATTCGGGACTGAAGGTTGTGCACTGATCCTCAGATTACCCAAGGCACAGATGTCAGAGGTGATATCACAATGCAAGAAAGCAAGTGAGAAAAATGCCCCTTTCTAAAAGGGCTCCCTGACTTCTACTGCTGCCAGGTCCTGAGAGAAATAGGTACAGGGGAGGCCCCTTCCTCTGCTGAAGTCTTCTGTTCTCAACGATGTGAGGCTGGGCTTGGTCAAGATGAGTTGGGATGACTGCAGAGGTGGCGGGTACTTGGTAGTGCTGGAGATAGGAGTCGAAGTGTGATAAGAAGCCTGGACATGGCTTGAGGACATGGCTTGAGGACATGGCTGCCCCTCCATAAGAAGCCGAGGCAGTGGATGACAATGCTAAGCTCTTGACATGTTCCTCCATGAGCAGCTGGTTGGGGAAGAGCTTGTGAGTCACATCTCTTCTGCAGAGGAAATGTGTCAGCTGTGTCCATCTTCACCTGAGCAGTACTGGATCATGCTGGAGGCTTGCTCTGATAGACGGAGGCTTGCTCCACAGCCTCCCCGTGTTCTGAATCCATAGTGCTTTGATCTAAAGGCAGAACCCTGTCCTTCCTTTCCTCCAACCTGCCCTCAGAGCTCCAGAAGACTGAGGAGCCCTCCACTGTGGCTGCAGCCTGGTACCTGGGGTCAGGAACTATGCGGCTGGCATTTGGCCCATCCTATCCTCTGCAGTCAGTAGGTGGAGGGGACCTCAGGGTTGTGCAGCAGGGGCCTGGATAAGGCATACTACAGGGATCTTATTTGTAAGCAACAGAAACTAATTATAGCAATTTAGAATGGAAAACAAGTACACCAAAAAGACACTGGGTAGCTCATAGAATTGCTAGAAGGCCTGGAAAAACAAGATCTAGAGAAGACACAAAAGGAAACAAAGACCCAGTCCACTGCAGGAAGGGTTCAGTGCAGACATCATTGCTTGTATGCTAACATGACCCATGCTGGACAGTC